GTCATCTTCCTTTCTGTTGACCCAAATGACTAAGGGGTAATGGGATCAAATCCTACCCCTATTACTTTCTTGAAATATTCTCACATGGCTAAAAAAAAATCTATGACAAAAAAAATTCCACCACCAGCTAGCCACCACACCGGTGGGGTTGAGCCTTTTTAAAAAAAAAAAAAAAGAAAAGGCAAAGAGTATTTTTGTTATTTCACTAAATTTTAAAATTTCAATTTGGGAATGATTTTCCTCTTTTTCATTTAAAATCTTTAGCTTCCCAAATTAAAATATCACATATTCAGCCTTTTTTATTTGTTATTTTTCCTATTTTAGATCACATAATTTTAGTAGTTATTTCTTAGTAGTATAACAAACGACGGAGGGGGTAACAATTATCTTTTTCATAGTTTTGCCCCCTATTTAATACTCACTATTTTTAGTGTTTTAAATCTTAACCACATTCATGGTCATCCATCTAAATGAGTATTATTTGAAACAAATAATAATTATACCTAATTTGAAATAAGTCCTATATCTAAGAATAAAATAAAAATTTAAATCAAAACAAGTAAATAGGGACTAAAGAAAATAGTGTACATGGACTACATTCTTTAAGTGGGTAAGAGAACAATTGAAACTCCCTCCAATGTAATGCATAGAAAAAATTCTAATAACCTAGTGTAGCAATATTTTTTTAATGTACATAATTTATGCGCGTGTTGCATTATGAAAGGCTAAGAACATCTTAGTGCCTGTTTGGAGCCACGATTAAGTGGCTTTTGGTTTTGAATATGTTTGAGTGTGTTTGGAAGAGCTTAAAAAATTAAGAGCTTATGTCAAAATTACATACTTAAGCCAAAAGCTAAAGATTACAGCTTATAGAATTGGAAAAGTGGAGAGAGAAAGACAAAATGTAGGTTTCATTTCTTTTACTCAAACAAAGTTACTTTTATTCAATTATAATTCAAACAACCTTTTACCAATATCATTTTTACAAACTAACTTTTTAAAACTTCAATCCAAACACAATTCACCTTATCCAATTTAATTTTTATCCAATTTTACTTTTTTAAAAATCAGATTAGAAATAAACTTTTTTTTTACTGTCAATTCAAACAGACCCTTAAATAGTATTTTGTTTGGCTCTAGGAACTATATATTAACGCATAGTTTATTGTGGAACATACTTTAGAATATTAAACATGACGTTTGCAAAAGTCCAAACTTACCTGTACTTAAATTCAAGTTCCTGAAGAAGCCAAATGTCATTGCCAGTTAAAAAGTAAAAATAAGAGTATTAAGTTCATAAAAAATTAAGACTTTTAAATTAAGTAAATAAACTTGAAAGTCAAAGATAAAATTTCAAACAGAGGAAGTACATAAAATGCATATTTTATTGTGAACCGCTGTGGGATGTAGTGGAAGAGACCAACTTTCCATTAAATAAGTTTGGTAATTTAGAGAATTGTGAATAAAAAAAATCTATTTAAAAATTCAGATTTGACTAATGAAAAAAATTATATTGAAAGTTTTTTTTAATGGAGTATAATATTGATGGAGAAGAATCAAATATTAATAATTAAATAGATAGTGGCCTGTGTTCTCATAACATCGTGCGCCTCTTTAAAAGTGAGACTATTGTAAGCTCTACCCCTGAATAAGTGTACCTCTTTTATAAACCATTAAACTTTGTTGTATGCATGAGCTTCCTTTCTTATAAACTAATGTAATAATAAGTTAACTTTTTATTAAAAATTAATTATAGAAAACGAAACAATATTATATAACTAAAATTGATATAATAAAATTTAAGGAATGTGCAATTAATAAAGGGTTAAGGTGTGTCCAACACCCTAAAATATTTTTTTAAGTGCATCCAGTACCTTAAAGTATTTTGTGATGCGTTCAGTATCCTGAAATATATTTTTAGGTGCATTCAGTACCGTAACATATTTTTTGGCGCATCTAACATCTCAAAATATTTTTTTAGATACATCTAACACCCAACAATATTTTTTGGTGCATCCAGTACCAAGGCAAGAAAAATAATTTAGGGTGTTGGGCTCCCCTAAAAAATACTTTGGGGTATTGGATACACCTGAAAATATTTTAAGATACTGGATGCACCTTAATCTATTAATAAAATATCAGCTTGATAGGAAAGTAACGTGAAAAAAAATTGAAATAGTAAATAAATATTCTTTTTAAAACTTTTACTGAAGTTAGAATGGACGAAGGAGAAGACTATTGAGTAGTTTCTTCTTACACGCATGCAGAAAATATTGAGGCAAAATGTAGAGACGCAAAAAAGAAAACAATTAAAAGACTGCAGTTGCCAGTTTCACTCGTTTGGAAGTTTGGATTTTATCATGACTAGAAAAACATCATAACAATGATTAATATTATCTTTAATCCTTGAAATTTGATCCCATTTTGATTTTGTTTTTTGAAATTTAAAATCAATAATTTTAGTTGCAAAAAATATTTTTTTCAGGAATAAAAAATCTTCAGAGGGATCTAAATGAAATCAAATTTTAGAAACTAAAACTAAAATAAAATCAAATTTTAGGAATTAAAGACGTATCATCATAGCTTGAGGGTGTGTTTGGATAAAATCAAACCATGGTTTGGAGAATAGCTTCTGGAGAATAGATTCTGGAGAGAATAGATCTTATGAAAAAGTGATTCTGAGAAGTGAGAGTGTTTGGATAGTTGTTACCAGAAGCACTTTTTATATGTGCAAATTACTAAAAAGGGCATAAATTAATATTATAATTATATAAGGGATAGATTTTATAATATATTTTGATTTGAAGAAATAAAATTGTTAATAAAATAATTTTTACTAACATAATTAATAATATATAATATAATATAACTAATAAATAAATAATTAATATGTGCATATATATTTATAAATTATATTAGATTAAATAGTAGAACCGAGTGTGGAATGAAGAGTGAGGCATCAATTATGGGGGCTGCTTTGTCATATGCTGTTGGGCCCACACCAATGTCTAGAAAATTTGAGCCAGAAGCAACTTCAAACCACTTCTGTCGAAACCATGGTTTTGGGGTTCAAAACCATGATTTGACCCCAAACCATGGTTTCACATTTTCTGCCCTTGTTTGACTGGTTTCTTCCCCAAACCATGGTTTGGAAGGACATCCAAACACGGCCTGAATGTTTTTTTTCCTCCGCTGATGTCGCCCAAGTCACTAACATGACAAGTCAGAATAACTTATGCCTACCAAATGTGGAACATTCTCATGTGGACTACTTTGAGAAGTATAGCTGGAGCCTACATGTATTAAAAAGAAGATATAGAATGAGCAAGACTATGATTTATAAATAATATATAACTTACAATAAAATTTATACTTTATAATAATATATTAATATTTAGGGTTAGTATAATTTTTGATTTCTTAAATTTGCTCTTATTTTGATCTTGGTCTATCAAGAGAGAAATTTGTCCAAGTTTTTATTAGATTATAGAGAATAATACTTTAAATAAAATAAAACTTGAAGGACCAGAATTTATAGTTTGAAAGTTGAGAGATCAAAACCAACATGAGACTAGAAATTATATTAACCCTAATATTTATATTGTAGGAAAAATTTATATTTAAACTCCATGTATATATATTAAACTTTTTTAGAGATAATCTATTCTTACTTATAAGAGATACTAATATCTTGTTTAAAATTTTAGTTTTAATTTTAGTTTTTGTTTCTATCAATTACTTGTTCACACACCCGTTATAATTAAGATATTTTTATAAAATAAGTTGATTTTTTTACATGTCTCCTATTTTTTTAATGAATTTTAACCAAATTTTTGATCTATTTAATTAGCTATCTTCTTTTGTTAAAAAAAAAATTGGGTCCTTTCTTATTTATTTATTCATTTTCTTGCCAAAAACGAAATGGGTCCTTTCTCAGCAGCCGTACGCGGAAAATGAAATGTGCAAATTGATAATTGAAAATTCTGACCTCGCTGTTCACTTTCCATTCGTCCAGTCAAAATGGCCCCGGAGAAATAAAGCACGTGGACCCCAGGGAAACCATGTGGGACCCAAAGTACCACAAAGCTGACACGGTGCATGCAAAATAATAATTGGTGTAAAGTCCCAAAAACCAATTTTCCTAAAAATAACCGTCCCGCATTCCTCGCCGGTAGAGTGAAGGACACATGGTCACATATTATTGGTTAGCCATTAATGACGTAATTCCAACCTAACGTTACTTTTAGAAACAAAACAAAAATTTCAAAAAACTATTTAAAAAAAAATAAAAATAAAACGAAGTTGCTGTTCTTGTGTCAACCAACTCATTTCTCTGCTTCTCATCTCCTCCTCGTGTCAACTTCCATAGACAGCGTATTAGGCTGCGAATTTTCCGTCTTTAGGACCAGGTCTACCTTTGTCTATGCTTGCACATTTTCTTGCGTTTTCCCCGGTTTTCCTTCTGCTTTCTCTCTCATGCGTTTCGAACTGATCGTGGATTCTACCCGGAATCTGGTATAACTTTTGAATTTTTTTTCTTTTTCCTTTGCTGCGTAAATTTGTTAAATTGGGACGCTTTATTCTCTTTTCACGTCTTTTCCCCCATTGAGATCCTCTGTCCTTGTGGCCGGCACGTTCACATGAACTGGGCTACCGTTGCTTTAATTTTCTGTTTCGGACGGTTTTAATGCTCTCTAACGTTGTTTGCTCGGTATTGTGCTTATTAACCCTAGTTTATCAACATTGTAATTTGTTTTAGGTGAATTCTGTTTATATGCCTCGGTTCTGATCTTTGAGCTGCGCCGCTGATTATGTGTAGTCTTCTTTCTTAGGGTTTCCTTTCTCGGCTGGTCAATGGTGCTGTGTAAAAATGCCTTTTTTTTTTTTTTTTAAATAATTTGTCGAAGAGATATTGAATAGATTATGCTATCCGAGGATGGATTTTTGTGGTTCTTCACGTTGGATCTTGACACTGATTCATGGGGATTTGTTCTGCTATAATTTTAGGAAAGTTTGGAATTGAAGTTTTATGTCGGTATCTGACTATCTGTTTTTGAAGTTGGCAAAATCGTCATCTAAGATTGCATTTAGTGCGCTGACAACAAGGGATATGCATGTCTCTTCATCAGTGGAGTGAAATATGCAGAGCATAATTTCGGGGCTTTTCTGTTTGGAGTTTCTCCTCAATGGGTTTCTTTTACAGATTTACGAGGATATATAGTTTCTGTGAATGCTAAATCTAACCAACTTTATGATTTCAAATTTATTGATGAACTGCTGGGTCTCTGCTTCAATTGTAAAAGTTTGAGGATCTTTAGTATCGGTACTTTTCAAAATCTTTTCCCGTGGACTGAAATTTCAGTCGTATTTTTTTCCTTTTGTTTCCCCCCTTTCTGTTGCTTTGCCTTTTTGTTCCTAGGGTCGTCTATTTATTCTGATTTCTGAATTTGATGTGTTTGTTTTAAGGGTAGAAAAGATTTCTTATGTAGTTTTGTTTCTACTGCAGATTATAACCTCAGATCTGTCCTAGGAAAGGGCGCTTTATTGACTTTTGGTATTGTGGAATAAGACTTCATTTCCTCAATCCTAGTAATATAGATTTCGCAAATGCTATTTGGCAGGCCCAGAAGTCAGCCAAGGGCTAGCAGACCTGGGTCATTGGGAGGTAAGGTTTTGATTGCCGGATATAGGCATGAACAGACTTATAACCAACTGAAATACATGTGAGGACGTGAGCGCACACACAATAACCCCCCTCCCCTCTTTAAAAAGGCCTAGTTACTAAAAGCGACAATCAACTTCAAAATAGAAATTGATAAGCGTTGCTTTTTGTAACTCATGATTGTAGGATAGACTGGAGCGGGGTTTATGAAGTAGGGGAATCTGGAAATATCTTATTATGCCGTGATGTGGAGATTTTTATTTACTTAGTTATGTTTATCATCTAATTTTGATATAATAGGCTTTCCTCCCTTTTTTCTGTTGTCTTCTAGGAATGGATTATGCTGATCCCAAGAGGAAGGGCAGCCTTGTTGCAAAAGTTTTTCTTGCTGCGGCACTAACAGCATTATGCATTATCATGATCAAGCAATCTCCTTCCATGAACTCCCCTAGTCCGGTAACTCCTATACATTTTTATGTTTTAAATTTCATTTGTTAATTGTGGAAATTATATATCTTTAATGTTTGGATTGTTGATTTTTATATTTACAGAAGAAAGATCCATCAAGTAGTTAAGCAATGCCACAGATTACAGGCCATTTTAGAGTCTATTTAATAAAAATTATTGAATTTTAATTTTTTTTCCTGTTTACAAGTGTTGTTAGATAAAAAATTAAAAGGAAAAAGTATAAGCAGAAAGAGAGGGTAGTATTTAAACCGGCAGTAAGTGAAAGATGGGTGATAATATTATCAGTTAGATGCTTTTTCTCTCTCACTCAGTTTTCTTGTTATTTGATTTTGAGATTGAGAATATGATACCAAAACCTAGGGTTGATATGCCTTTTCGTTCATGTAATTGATTCTTTCCTGTTTTGGCCATTTCCAGTTTTCTTTCCATGAACCTGGAGTCACACATGTTCTGGTAACAGGAGGAGCAGGCTATATTGGGTCACATGCTGCTCTAAGACTTCTGAAGGATTCTTATCGTGTCACCATAGTGGTATGCCTATACATAAAATGGAGGGGCTGTCTGATAAAGTCATAAGCTGTCTCCATTGTTGCTGCACTACATGAGTAACAATTTTTCTTTCTGGCAGGACAACTTGTCACGAGGGAATTTAGGTGCTGTCAGGGTTCTCCAAGAATTATTTCCAGAACCTGGAAGGCTTCAATTTATATATGCTGATTTGGGAGATAAGAAATCTGTATCCTGACCATATTGTGTTATGAATTTAAAGATTTTGGTCTTCAATATTAACTAGTATTTAGATGGCCCAAAAAAAAAAAAAACAAAAGAAAGAAAAACTTTGTATTTGAAACAAATTGATGTGCGCATGGCTTGTCTACTTGACTGGTTATTAGGTTGATAAAATATTTTCAGAGAATAAATTTGATGCTGTAATGCACTTTGCTGCTGTTGCGTATGTCGGAGAGAGCACAGCTGATCCTCTTAAGTAAGCATCGTTTGAGCTTTGACAAACAAGCTATGGAAAGTAGTGTCTGTGCACAGTTCCTAATTTTGTCTGCGCACCTATTTGCTAGATTGGCTGATTGTTTTCTTGAATATGAATTGTCATTTTCACGCACTCTTACATTTGTGTCTCTATTTTTATATCATATTTTTATTTGCTTATTGTAGGAAATGACTTGGCTATATTTTAATATACTTGTTTGGAGTACAATTTGACTTTGTAAGATTGAGGTCTTGGTTTCTTAAAAGATAAAGTCATGTACTGGAACACTCTAATTGTAATGTGAGATAGAAGTGCCCTCAATATCATATCGGGCTTATTTGCAGTGTGTAATAGGATTGGGGGGTTCTTTCTTTGAACCTCACCATGAACAATTAAAGTTTGTCCAATTAAAATTTCCATCTGATTAGTTCCAAGCCATTTTCAAATATGTAATTTTTGTGTATGCTAGTTTATGTAATGTTAGAGAAAATGTAAGTTTCAGCCGCAAAGTTCTCAAGTTCTTTAATGGAAGAAGCTTCCTTTTCTATGACATAAGTATGAAGATATGTAATATATATAATATATGCGCTTTATTATTACTAAACAGTAATAATCTCTTCATGTTTTTTCTAAATCTAGGGGTGTAGACCTTTTAACGTCCACAATATTACTTTCTTACGTTTCATTAAATTTTATTCTACTTCATTTTGTGTGCCTAACAAGAAGTCTTTATGGGTATGCTGCTACGTTCACTGCTGGTGTTGTTTTGCTGTCAGTAAGAGTGGGAGAAGGGGTCCCACCAGGCTTAGATAATAGGCAGGTGTCAATGATTTTCCTATTCATGTCAGTTGGTGGGTTAGGTAGAAATGAAGAGAGGCTTATGATTTAAATGTTTTCACAAAGTTTGGAAGTAATCATTAGCTATGAAACCAGAAGTTTAATAAGTGGAATGTGTTGCTATATGTCGTTAATGATGAATAGGCTTACCTCTATGCTATAATTAAAATAATTTCTCTAAGATTAAATACTTAAACAAAAAATTGTGCTTCATAGTATTTTCTATGTTCTAGTATGTGTGAACATAAATGTGAGATGTCTCTGGCCTTTATCTATTCCTTTAAGCAGATGGTGGCCCATAACTTCCCTGCATGTGTCATTTCTTGGTTGTTTGTCTTTTTTCTGTTTGGAAGATTGTCAACCTTCATCATATGATTACACACTGTCTTTCCTCTAGACCTCTATTCAGGTGAATGTGTTCTATATTAGTGGTTTCAAAGTTGTTTACCATTGTTAGGATCCTCCAGCCTTGGGAAATTGGAAATAAAATTATAGCACAAAGTTGAGAAGGGAGCATACTGAGTTATTAAAGGTAGAGAGGGGGTCCTAGAACTGGTTCCAGATCAGATTTCATCATAAAACTCTGATCTTCCAACAGTTAATATATGTAATATAAAGGGAAGAATAGAGAAACGTAACACATTATTAGTGTGCCTAAGATTGCATTCAGAGAGCCTGATGGGACTGCTGCAAGTTCTAGAATAGACTCTGTTGACTAAAGTGGCTCAACAATGTTTAGTTGTTTGCAAATTAATTGGCTGTTTTTTCTGATTTATTTTTATGAGGTTTAAAGCAGAAGGTCTAGTGTGAACGTTGATTGATTCTACCTTCCTGGAAAATTTTCTCAGGTATTACCACAATATTACATCAAACACGTTGTTGGTTTTGGAGTCTATGGCTAAACATGGTGTGACGACATTGATATATTCAAGTACATGTGCAACATATGGGGAACCTGAAAAGATGCCCATTACAGAAGAAACACCCCAGGTAGGAAAGATAACAGTGGCTTTGTCTATTTTATAACATTTTAGTTTCATCGTTCTTAGTTAGTTCCCACAATGGTTTTAGAGCAAGGGAATTTACTTCTAACATTGATGTGTTATGTTTCAGTTCCCAATAAATCCATACGGAAAAGCCAAGAAGATGGCAGAAGATATCATCCTTGATTTTTCTAAAACCTCAGACATGGCTGTTATGATCCTAAGGTATGTCTGATGCATGCATAAAGTTTCCTCCATATTTTTGAGTTCTTATTCATTAATGTCCTCATTGCTGCTGAAGTTATTTCTTAATCTTGATTTTTGATGTATTATCAATGTTTGGAATCTTGCAAGAGTTGGGTTGTGCTTTGGCAATACCAATTTTTCTCTCTTCTGCTTCTCTTTGTGCTGCCTCCGCCCAAATACTGAGTTTGGATGTGTTGATCACTAATGGGGCACACATGATGTGCATGAATGGAAGTGGATAATCTTTTCAAGTGTTTTTGTTGTGTTTGAGAAACGATAGCTTTATTGCTGTGCGTGTTGAGGAATTCTAATGTAACATGTTAATTCTTTAAATGTCGAATTTCAGCAGAGTTTGCTTATAAAATATAAGTGCATCAAAATGGATTGGTGACTACTTAACAAAGGAATTTTTATACTCGAGTTTAAAATAGAGACCAAAGAGTAAGCTACATTGTTCACTCATGAATGGTATGGCTTGTCATAGTTTTATATAGATACTCTTAAAGAAAGTGTTGCTCAAAACTAGGAAGTGGATCTTTACCAAAAAGAAAAAAAGAAACTAGGAAGTGGATGCAGTTGTGGGGCTAAGCTATTAAGGTGAAATGATATTTTCTCTTTCTTTTGTTTTATACTTCCTGCGGTCTTAAATATAAAAACTAGTTTGTAATGTAAATTGCATTACAAACTAGCTCTTATATTTAAGATTGGATGAAATATAAGATAAGGACATGATATTGGATTCTCAGTGTAGAAAATTAGACATGTGGAGGAGAAGCTGTTTTCTATGGTAGTTATGGTGTTTAGCTATAAAACTGACCACTTTACGTTATTTGGACCATTGGTGCTCAGTTTCAGTACTATGAATGAAGATAACCAATCTGGGATACTTGATCTTACTTTAAACAACAAGCCTTATCCCACTAGGTGGGGTCGGCTACATGAATCACACGACGCCATCGTGCTCTGTCAACAACCCAATCCTTAGATATGTTGTTGATTAGGAGGTCTCGTTCAATGACCTCATTCAGCGTTCTTCTCGGTCTTCCCCTCTCTTTTTATGGGACTCCATCTTGTTTGATCCACCCTCCTCACCGGGGCCTCCAAAGGCCTTCTCTGCACATGTCCAAACCATCTTAAGCGATTTTCAACCATTTTCTTTTGGATAGGTGCCACACCGACTCTTGTCCTGATCTTATCATTTCGAATCCGAACATATGGCCATCCCATTTCAACATCCTCATTTTTGCTACTCCGACTTTGTGCTCTTGTTTTCCTTTTATTGCCCAACATTCACTACCATACATCATAGTTGGTCTTATAGCAGTCCGATAAAATTTTCCTTTAAGTTTCTCAGTACCTTCTTATCGCAAATAACTCCGGTAGCTTTCCTCCACTTTAACCAGCTAGCTTGTATTCTATGAGAAATGTTTCCATCAATTTCCCCATCCTCCTGTATAATGAATCCTAGGTATTTAAACTTTGATACTTGAGGAATAATTTGCTCTCCCATCCTCACCTCCAAATCCCTATTACCTTGTCTCCCTCCAAAATCACAATGCATATATTCTGTTTTGTTTCTGCTCAAACGGAAACCTTTCGACTCCAAAGTCCTCCTCCATAACTCCAAACTAGTGGTAATCTCTTCTTTTGATTCCGCCATAAGAACTATATCATCCGCGAAGAGCATGGACTTAGGGATTCTTTCTTGAACAGGTTTAGTTAGAACATCCAGAACAATGTTGAACAAGTACGGACTCAGAGAGGATCCCTGATGTAGGCCAATTTTAATAGGGAAGTCTTTTGTCTCCCCTCCAGGCATCCTTACACTGGTAGTTACCGCCTCATACATATCTTGTATGACTTTAATATACGCAACCCGTACACCTTTCTTTTCCAAAGCCTTCCACAATACTTCTCTTGGCACCCGATCATAAGCCTTTTCCAGGTCAATAAAAACCACATGTAAATCTCTTCTTTTGCTTCTATATCTCTCCATTAACCCCCTTAGTAAATAGATTGCTTCCGATGTGGATCTCTCTGGCATAAATCCAAATTGGTTTTCCGAAATAGAAGTCTCCAACCTCAATCTATATTCCATCACTTTTTCCCACAACTTCATTGTATGATTCATAAGTTTTATTTCCCTGTAGCTTGCACAGTTTTGAATGTCTCCTTTATTCTTGTAAATAGGAACTAAAATGCTTTTCCTCCACTCATCCGGCATATTTTTAGAGCGTAGAATTTCATTAAAAAGCTTGGTTAGCCACACCTCCCCCTCATCGCCCAAACATTTCCAAACTTCAATAGGGATACCATCAGGCCCAATGGCTTTTCCATTGTCCATTTTCTTGAAAGTCGCCTTAACCTCTCTGATACGTATCTTGCGGTAGAAAGCCAAATTCCGATATCTTCGTTAATTAGCAAGTCCTGCAAGTCCTGAGTCGCATAATTGCTTCCCTCATTAAACAACTTGTAAAAGTAAGCCTCCCATCTGTCCTTAATATCACCATCAGTAACTAACACTTTACCATCTTCATCCTTTATACACTTTACTTGGTCCAGATCTCTCTTTTTCCTCTCCCTTTGCTTCGCGATCTTGTAAATATTTCTTTCTCCCGTCTTTGTTCCTAACTCCTGATAAAACCCTTCATAAGCTTTAGTACGTGCATCGCTCACTGCTCTCTTTATTTCTTTTTTAGCCAACTGATACTTTTCCTGGTTTTCTACACTATTGCACAAGTGTATGGCCTTAAAACAATCTTTTTTCTGTTTGACTTTCTCTTGCACACTCTTATTCCACCACCAAGTCTCTTTATCTCTTTGACCAGGACCTTTGGATTCTCCCAAAATTGCTTTAGCTACCAAACGAACCCTTGTAGCTATCTCTTCCCACATCATGTTTGCATTTCCCTGCAACTCCCAATTCCCTTCCTTCAAAAGAATCCTTTTGAATAACTCCCGCTTCTCTCCTTTTAACTGCCACCACTTAATCTTGGGTTTTGCCACTTGATGGTACTTTTGCCTAGTACTTTTAAAACATACATCAAGGATAAGTACTCTATGTTGGGCACTCACCCCGTCTCCTGGAATCACTTTGCAATTAGTACACAATCTTCTGTTCGGATTCTTAACCAAAAAGAAATCAATCTGTGATTTTGAGACACCACTTTTGTACGTGATTAAATGCTCCTCTCGCTTCTTAAAACAAGTGTTGACAATCTTAAGATCGTATGTAAGAGAAAAATCGAGAATAGATTGTCCTCCACTATTAAGCTCCCCAAAACCAAAACCACCATGGGCCCTGCTGAATTGTCCTGCTTCTTTACCAACATGTTCATTAAGGTCCCCACCGATAAAATTTTTTTCTTCGAGTGGTATGCTTTGAACCAAGCCCTCCATATCTTCTCAAAACTTATCTTTAAGATGTGTCTCTGCCCCAACCTGAGGTGCATAGGCACTAATGATATTGATAGTATTCTTTCCAACAATTACTCTTAACGATATTATTCTGTCCTCAAACTTGATCTTACTTTAATATTTGGGAATTCAGAATATTCTGGTCATCTTTGATAACATTTTTGGGTCAACATCCAGATACTTCAATGTGATTGGATCAGATCCTGAGGGCAGATTAGGAGAGGCTCCAAGACCTGAACTGCGAGAACAGGGTCGAATTTCAGGTGCCTGCTTTGATGCAGCACGTGGTATTATTCCTGGATTAAAGGTATACTGATATTATTTTTCCCTTTCTTTATAAATTTCATAATGTATGAAATCCTTCCTCTCAAAAAATTAGCACAGGTAATAGTGTCTGGTATATTGGCGGGAACCGATGGAGGCATCTATATTGACTAACTTCCTTGTAATGGATATAGAATTTAATAAATGTTTTCTTTTTGACATTGGCTGCTATTCCCGAACCTTAGCTAAACCTTGACTTAAATGATTTGCGTAATGGTCAAGTGCTTGCAAGTGTTTTTCACTTCTGATTGCATTTGTTGGCTCCTTGCAGGTTAGAGGAACGGATTATAAGACACCTGATGGAACTTGCATACGAGACTACATTGATGTAACTGACTTGGTCGATGCTCACGTGAAAGCTCTTGAAAAGGCACAACCTGGTAAAGTTGGGATCTACAATGTTGGCACCGGAAGAGGTATGTTGAAACTTTGAATGTGAATCTTAGTAGTAGATCATCTCGGTTACTAATGAAAACAACTGTGAACTTTTTTTTCCGAAAGAAAAAGTTTTCCTCTAAATTTGAAGAGAGTATCAAATGTATCGTTTAACAACACATGTATGTTTTGGAAATAAAAATTGTCAAGCATAAATTCATAATATTAATTATTATTTAACTAAACATGTTATAAAATATTTATGTATAATATTTAACATAAAATTTAAAAGTAATAGATCAATTGGATGGATTGATATCTACACAAATGCATGGATCAATCAACATAACTAGTTCATAGATGGATTTGGATGCAGGCTTCTTATTAGATTTTAAATTTAAATCAAATGGCTCAATAGGTCAAATTTGACAAGCCCGTTACAATCATCCTTTCTAGAATTTGCCAGCCCGGGCAATTTTCTATTTATCTTTTTTATAGCCAGCTCTTTATATTCTTCATTGTATCTCACACTCACACGTCTTAAATTTATGGTGCGGTTCTGTAAACCAGGTAGGTCTGTTAAAGAGTTTGTGGAAGCCTGTAAAAAAGCCACGGGGGTGGACATTAAAGTCGAGTATCTTTCTCGTCGCCCCGGTGATTATGCTGAAGTGTACAGCGACCCATCAAAGATCTTGCGTGAACTGAATTGGTCTGCCCATTACACCAATCTTCAAGAGAGTTTGGAGATTGCATGGAGATGGCAGAAAGCTCACCGTGACGGTTATGGGACTTCAACTGCGGTTCTCTGAAAATTTCAGAGCCGCTTGGCACAGCGCACCACTGATTAGAGAATGGATCATCTGAAGTTGAAAGTGTTTGTGAAGCTTGAAGCGAAGTATCAGTACTGTGTATATAGTGTTGGTACCTTCTATTCAACTGCACTTACAGGTTTTCAGCATTAGAAGATTCAGATCCACCAGAACCTGGAGCATTTATATCCATCTCTTTTTGTTAAACTTGAGGCACAGAGGAAAAAGTTTAGCTTTTAGACCAATAAAAGCATGACCGTGAGTGACGGCTGACGAGTACTTACAGAGTTTAGTTCCACTATTGGTGCCAGTTTATTCTTCTCGTACTCGTCGAAGTGAGTAGGATATTTCCCCCCTATTTTTCTATTTTCTTACTGAGCTGCTGATGAGTTAGCGTGGTTTTAAATAGTCGTTGTCGATTTATTATATGTATTTAATATATAACAATTCAATAATATGATGCCCAGGCTCTGATATGACTTTCCTATGTTGTCTTTTCTTTTCCGCCGCTTATATTTTCTATTTTATGATCTTTTTTTTGGGGTAAAATTCTGTTTCTGAGTGTGTGGGTGGGTGCGCACACAGAAATTTTTCTCTTGAGCATGTAAATTAGAGAAAACTATTTTCTCTACACCATTAACTCGTGTATGACTAGAGGTGGGAATCAGGGCTGACGGGTTTAAAAGGGCCGGCTTTTTAGGACTGAAATTTCAAAAATATTTCAATTTGTTAGGCTCGGCCTTTAAACTACAGGGTTCAGGGCTGATCCACGGGCTTTTTTGTTTAAGGAAAAAAATAATATTTTTTACATTTATCATATTTTTTATAAAACAATAAAAAGAAACCAATGAAATTATTAAAAAAAAGACATAAATATGAATAAAATTAAGTCACAAATATAAAATATTATCATATATAAATATCAACATCCAAGAACATCTAAAACATTTATTAACAAGATAATAACATCCAAAAATTTTATCTATAGTGCAATTGTGCAATAAATAAATACTATCATTAATCTTTTGAAACTTTATCATCACTATAATTAATTATTCTTTTTCGTAAGTATGCTTTTCTTTCGTAACAAAAATATCAAGTTTTTCTTCCTTATAGGAATTTTACTTTTAAATTTTACAATCTAGCTATTATTTTATTTTAATGTGAGAAACATTGTTGTTGAAACTCATAAATTTCTAATTCAAATTATATAAGTATAAAAATACTCTATTATCAAATATATATCTAGTTTAAAAATATTAACGCATATAATATAAATCAAATCATTAAAGTCCAAATTAACCCATTTTTAAAAAATTTAATTGGATAAATTATTGTCTAACACTAAATTTAATTTTAAAATGATAATAATAACTAAATATTTGAAATATTATTAACAATGCAAAGAATTAATAACATTAGAATTATAAAAAAAATTTAAAAAACAAAAAAAATTATAAAATGGCTTAAAAAGGCCGGCCCTAGAGCCTTTTAAGCCTTCGGCCCTCTAGGGCTTATTTCCCATTTGAAGGGAGAAATATCAAGCCCGGCCCTCATAATTTCAGGGTCTAAATGGGCCAGCCCGACAAGCTCGACCTGTTTTCCCGGCTCTAGTGTATGTTACGTATGCACGTGGAAGATAGACACTAGAATTTAAAAACAATAATTTTATTTTTATGAGCATGCAAATCGGTGGTGAGATGCTGTGTGGGTGTACAAGAAAATATAACATTAGTAATGAATATATATGAGGAAGAGTTGGTGTGGCATTGATTGGAAGAAAAATCAAAGAAACCTTTGCAGGCATTGTTGAGGAGGGTAGATTGTATGGAGTTTTTTGGAAAGCGATATAGGCAGATTAAAGAGAACTATTAAGAAAGTTATTAAGCTTTTTGGTTAATAATTTATTCAAACACTGGGTTATTAAAAGAGTATAATAATATCGTGCAATTCGAGTAACTTACCACACTTAAGGGAATAAGGTTTATTGTTTAACAACGTAAATAAAAGAAAACTATTTTTTCATACTTCTAGATAATTAATTGTCACCTTTTTATTTATCATTCAAATATTTTTATTGTGATAAATCCAACGTAGAATGTTTCTGTTACTTCAATATAGATATCATAATCATTAATGTCAAGTAAATTGCAAGTGCTTTCCCATAGCAATAGTAGATAGCAGCGGGAAGTTGCTAAATCATGATTAAGAAGACTAAAGGGAACTGTGAAGTATGGTTATGAAGTAAATATGTGAAGGAGTTTGCCTCGTTTTGCGGAAAAGTGCTTCTTAAAAGTACTTTTAAGGGTTGCCAAACACCTTATAAATTAAGTATCGAATGTTGAGTGGAAATGGTTCTTTAAAAATGGTTCTTTGTAAGAGAAAAGGAGGAGAGATGAAGAAGAAAGTATTACGTGGTATCTTTCAGCTGTGAGTAATACTTTCTTTTAAATTTAATTTGCCCTCACCTATTCCTATCGTATATGATACAAGTTAGGTTGCGGTGAATTTCCTGCAGGATATGATGGGAAACTTTAAGTATAGATTGCACTTTTAATACTTAGGACAAGAAAATAATGATATTTTTTTTGGCCATAAAGAAAATAATGATATTTACAAAGGGATAATTTGACTTTATCTCTTCATGTACTCAAACACCAAGGTAATGAGTTTGATATTGTTGTGTTATGTGTAAATGGAGTTATGGTGAGGAGTATATATTGATCATGAAGTGATGCTTTAAATGCTTCTTGAAGTAATAACTCTTCAATTAAAGGTCACAATTATATGTATACCTTAAATAGCCAAAATAAATTTTCCTTTAGGAGTTATACCTTTTTAATATGTAGGGTTTCCTTTAAAAACAACAAACCTTTCACAAAGCGATAATTACCACACTGATTGTACTCATTTTGATACATATTTTCATATCCTAATTAAGGGTTTTTTTACGATGATACTTGGGGTTAATTGCATATTTTGTGTTGTCATTGAGTGATTGCATGGAATTGTATCTAAAAAACAGTGTTTTTGTCATTTAAATTGATTTACTCTTTGATTGGTTTAATTATTTGGACTTATGATACTTCTAGGGTTTTGATTTGCATTGTAGGTACCTTAGAAGATAAAGAAAAGAAGTACCAAGAACCAAAGGGACAACTTGGGCTCAGAAATTTAGAGCCTCTATTTTATGTTGTTTGCTATGGCAAATGGACACTTTTACCAAGGTGAACGAGCGTTAAGTTGCTGCTGCATGTTTTTTTGAATGAAGAATTAAACGGGTGATCATCATTCATGTTTCAAACAAGTAATCTTTAAGTTATGAAATGAATCAATTAATTTTGACTGAAGAAATAAAGAACTCGTGAAGTATTATTCCCAATAATATTATTGATTTAAGAGCATAAAAGCTGAAGAAAAGAAACTCGAGGTTTCTTATCTATAAACAAGTTTCTTGATAAGTTTATTGAGAAATCAATCAGAGAGAACTGAAAGGACTTGGAAGGTTTTCAAGGAAACTTCTACTCTCTGTAGTTGTTCCTCTAGGACCTTAACCTTCTTTTTGGGACTTACCAACTCCTTGATAATTTTTATAAATTTGAAATGTAAAGCATCATATTTAGATTGTAATTCATCATTAGTGGGTTAGAATCGTTTACCTCCTATATTTTTCATTCTTCTTCTTCTTGTATAACAACAGATGTTGGCGGTCTCTTCTTTATCATTATCTTCTATACGTAGTCTTCCTTCCTTTTGAACTTCTCCTTTTTCTTGTCCTGCTTTTACTTTTTAATAAAGTTAGACAATTCATCTTGATGTGTCCAAACTTCTTGTACTTGAAGCAAACTATCTGATTTTTGAATTCCTTTTGAGAGACCGAAGAGGTTCTTTTGGATTGAAACTTCTTCCCAGCTCTATTTATGTAAAACTTCTTGAATCTCTTTATGATGAGGCCTTTTTCTTCATCCTCCAAGGCTTCCTCTGAGAGCAATTCCCTTCTTTGTCTTCTCATTTATCTCCTTTTTGTATTTCTATTTACTTTCATATTCTGCCAAGCTACCAAAGAGAGTAGCAACTCATCGTATGAATTCTCCTTTTGTTTCTTCAATAGCGATCACTTTTGGTTCTTATTCCTTATTGAGACCACTAAGTATGTTTCTTACTTGGTCTTCTTGGTTGTATTTCTTGCCAAGAGAGTTAAGGTGATTAATGAGAAGTGAGAATCTCACTTTCATGTCTTAGATGCTCTCTCCGTCTTTCATTCAGAATAGCTCAAACTTAGTAGTTAGAGTATTGATTTTGCTTTGTTTGACTCTACTTGTTTCTTTGTGGGCAATCTCAAGAGATTCCCACAATTTTTTGGTAGCCTCCAAGCTTGATACTCGAAAGTACTCTTTTTGACATAGAGTACAAGTGAGCATATTGATGGCATTGTTATTAAGCAGGATTAGCCTTTTGTCATCATTATCATATTCACTGGGAGATTTTGGAACACATTGCCTATTCTCCACTTTCATGGGAACATAGTTCCCCTTCTTGATTACGTCTCAAAGGCCATACTCTAATGCTTTAATAAAGATCTCTATTCTCATCTTTAAGAAGGTGAAGTTTTCACTATTGAATCCTGGTGGCTTTATTGTAAAGCTTCCTTTGAGTAACACATGATCACTAAAAATTGTCATTTAATCTTCTCTTGAGATAGTTGAGTCTTTTTCACATGACCTGTTCTAATACTAAATGTTAGAATGGTAGAACACCTAAGAGTAGGGTGGATTGGGTGATATTAAAAAGGAGTAAACTTAGGTCAAGTTGGTTAGGTCAAGTAGGTTCATGAAGCCAATCAGAGTGTGCCACCTGTATTTATTATCCATGTCAGCACTTAACCCAACACCCACCGTTAGTCCTCTAGTTAATTATTTTTTTCGTTTTTAAAAAAAGTAATTGGCGACAGAACAGAACCTAGGGTGACCGATGTTAGAGACGGCGAAGAGGTAAAAAACGACAGCGACCATGAAGGACAGGATACGACGGCAATCATGATGGACAGGAACGACAGCCAAGGATGGTGATATAAGGAGTTGCAATGTGATTGATTCTGGGTTGAGAGTTATATTTATGCACGATTCTCTTGTTTCAATTTTTGGGGCTTCTTTGTTTTTGGTCAGAGAGTGATTCTAGGATCTATTGAGGCTGTAATCGGTCAAGGAGAAATGATGACAATGTGATCGGCAAGGACAACTGGCGGCCAAGCGTGTGCAAAGGGATGTGCAAGAGAAGCAGCTACGTATGTGAAGGAAGGATGGACGGTGGTGTGATCGTCAAAGATGCATAACAAAGTTGCCGCAAACTGGGTACAGAAATGGTCGCGTATGTGGAGAAAGGTTAGCAATAGTGAATTAAAGGTCGTCACTTTCTTCTCTATATTTTATGTTTTCATTCTTCTCTCTTGTAATCAATTGGATTAGTTTTTGTTGGTAGC